CGGCTATATATAGTACACAAGTTGAACAACAGTTATGCAAGAGTTGCGCATGAGTTACATAAGAACAGAAATAGTTTAGGAAAATCCCATTATGAAGCAAGAGTTGCGCAATAACAGGAAGAAACGAAAACGAAAGAATGAAACAAGAGTTGCGCAGTAACAGAAAGAAAGGAAAAGAAGAAGAAAACACAGTCTTATGAACTGCCAGGAATGGCACATCATAACAATGGGAAAGAAAATAATGGAGAAGAAAATAATTTTAACCTGTGTTCATCTATATCCGAAATACGCCAATGATAGTACAAATGTAAAATGAATTAATAGATCATTTTTGGATCTGCTGCCTTTTTTCGATCTCCCTTGGGCTATTCCCAGTTGACATTTCGAACTTTTGTTGTACAGTATTCATATTTCGCTTGTGATTCGAAACCGGCAGCAACCGGTCTGTTGAAGTGTGGATAAACTGGTAAAAGAACCGGCAAAAAATCGGTGTTAACCGGCCGGTTGAAAAGTTCAATCGGATCAGACAGGTGACCGGTCAAGTACCGGTTCCAGCTCTCTACCCCATCAGAATTCACAACAAACTGACCTTTCACTTTGAAAGAAAATGTTTCATTTCGACATATCCCGAATAACAGCCGATGCAAGAAGTGGCGACGTTTGGATTCGCCTATTGTTAATGCGTGAATGCGATCTATCTGCTCAAGATGTTGACGGGTATACTTAGGTCAGCAAGTTCGTTTTCAACAAAGTAGTGATCTTTTAGACGAAAAAAACATTTTTTTTCTCGACCGGCTGATCAAATTACTTTTCTTTCGACCGGCAGGCCGACCGATCGGTCAGAAATTTCTGACTAGACGGGGCCGGTGTCGACCAGGTCGGGTTGGAGTGGCCCGTTGCCGGCACCACTTACATCTCTGCCTGTTACATAAGTTCGATTCTTTTTTTCATTTTCTTCAACTGATTTTCATGAATTTAGTATTGCATCAGACATCCTACAAGGAGGGATGTACCCTTGATCCACGTAAGTGGAAGAAGTAACCTTTATAAGGTTAGATTATGTGTTGTGCTCCGAATATTGATAGTTCCATGAGTGTAGGTTGTGCTTCCATAAACTTTAACCAAACGAGCTCAAATGCTTACCGTATCGATTTTCTCTTTCAACGTTATAAGTTTTTGCTCAATGGATCTTTGATGCCACTTTTCTCACCAAGATGGGAAAAGGGGGTTCAGTACTCTTTTGCAGTAGATTGTTTTCATTTCTGGAGACAGTTGACTTGTTTTTTCCCAGCAGACACTGATACAATTTGTCTGACTAATGTGGAAGAAAAGATAAAGATAAAAAGTGAAAGGTGAGTTATATTTTGTTTCATTTTTTTCTTATTGAAAGTGGCTTCTATTGTTAAAAGTTTTCGCCGTTACTTTATTACATGATTGTATTTGACGGGGTGCCGTTGTATTATACCGCAACTATATCGTTGTCCATCCAAATTTTAGCGAACACTGCACAGAATATATGGATAGTTTTACATTTGTTTTTGTGGGAAATACCCCTGTTTTCAAGAAATACCCATTGATTCTTTGTTTAAGGTGAAAATTTTATTCTTGATTTCTATTATTAAAAGATACCTGTTCCACCTACACTTTCTGTGTAGTTTTTTGTATATAAAGACACATACTTGTGTTCACAGTCTCTACCGCCTCACAGATAGTAATTTTAATTAGTGCTATTTTCAATAAAATTCCGGCTTGTGTAGTTGTATTTCTAACAGTTACAATGTTAATAATTCTGTTTTCAATAATAAAGGTGGTGTCGAGTCAGAGCATTAATACATATTTATCTTCTATGTGTGTTACAATCAAGCAGTCATTATTCTCATTCGTATTAGTAGGTTCTTTTATAGCTGGTTAGTACCTACCTAAAGGCAAGTTCAAGAATAAATGAATTTTACAATAAATTTTGTTCAAGGTGTTTCACTATTGATATGTTATGTAATATTTGCATGTAAGACAAAAAAATTCTGTTCATCAGCACGAAAATATGTCAGCATAAAAATCACGAAAACATTGAACAATACCGGTCTGGTAGGTCCGATAATTGCTTGTTTGCCAAAGGAACGTTAATACTTTCATTTTAGCTACAAAGCATGTCAGCAAGGTGCCAAATAATTTCATATCATGATTCGACAACTGGAAGCATCTTGTTCCCATCATCCGATTATCGGTAGATATTAGTATAGCACAACATCTTCTCTTCTTGCTAATCTCTGATCTCTCGGTGGAATACATGACCTATATATGTGATACGGTCTACCAATGCAGAAATGCGAAATCATATGAATCAGAGGATTATAGGATACCAGATAACTCTTAGATTTCCAGCGGGAATCCACACGGATCCTACGGACTAGTGGAACATCGTACAGGCTGGAATGCGGGTGTTAAATACATAGCCTCAAAATGATCATTTTAATTTCCATCAAAATCATTCATTCAGACGCATGCAATCCTACCCACCTATAGAATACTATTTAAACTAACAATGAAGTATAAAAATTAAAAAGTTTTTGCTTATTCAGTTTAAGTACGAAATAAGCGTCGTAGTTCGCGCCCTCCTTCGATCAACGCTCATGATGTTATTCCTTGTCACACCTATTGTTACTGATATATCTCACCGAGGCGTAGAACACCATACAAATTTATTGACGTTACTCCGCACGCTAACGTAACAGAATCTGGATGTAATTCTTGTACGCTGTGTGATCTATTGAGTACTTGTATTTATTCAATACACAGGAAGCACGCGGAAAGACAGCATAGATTAGTGATTATATTTTTCGACACGTACTTCAAACACGCTCTGTTCGAACCTTAGCATCGGCGAGTCGTGTAATAACCTAGAGCAAGTTACTTATGTCTTGATGCCTCGGATGACAGCGTGTATACTACGTAGTGATGTACTTTACAGTTTCCCCAGTTAGTCTTCGTAACTTCAAGAAAGATAGTATGTGGCTAGTGAATGTTGGGATGCTCGGCAATTGGGATAAAAAGCTCAGCGTAAGAATAGTCTTCTGACCTTAGTTGCAGCTGATAGCTATGGGGTATGGCAGAGAAGATGCCTCAATATTTTCTATTTTTCTCATGTTCCTTTAGGACCCTAAGTTTAATATTTTCTTTAAAAGATTCCTCGAGAAATACTCTGCAAAATCATACCTAAACTTTAATTTCGGAACTTCAATAAAGAAAACTACGCAAATTAGGCGATAGATGAAACAAATGAAAAGTTTGTGAATTTGATAGTCTTTTCGACTTGAACTTTTTTCTTCTGCTATTGTTTCCGTAAAGAACTGTAGCAAAGGTGAGAACGTAGTTCTTTTGTACTTTCGAATGCGCTTTTTCTTTCAGTTTATAAAAAAAAGTTTTTCAGTGCAGATGGTGTGACCGAGAACGAAGTTTCAAAAATTGACAAGCTCCACTTCCGACAATGTACTCAATTAACAAAAGGAAAACATGACTGAAGTTTTGATGTTTCAGTTATGTTGAGAAAAGCAATCATTTCTGATTAAAAAAAAATTATTATCTCTCCATGGATTTTGATACGAAAAAAGTTGAAGTATAGCTAAAAGATATAGCGAAGTTAGAGATACAAAATGGCTGATTCAATTTTCCTTACTTTCAAATCATTAACACAGGCAATCGTTTTTGAGTTTAGAAACTTTTCATTTGTTTCGTCTAATTTGCGTGGTTTTCTTGATTGAAGTTCCGAAATTGAAGTTAAGGTATGATTTTGCAGAGTGTTTCTCGGCGCATCATCTAAAAAAACCATTAAACTTAAGATCCCAAAGGAATATGTGAAAAATAGAAAATAGTGAGAGGCTCATCTTCTCTGCCGAACCCGATAGAAAAGATATAGTTAATCATATCAGCTGTACAGCAGATATCAGGCTATTGAAGCTGGCATGGCACTGTTAGCAAACGGTAGTCGTAAAGAAGAATATTCTCTCTTCTTTCTTCTAATACACAGTCAATAACTGTGTCCAATTCATTTATTTTTATTACAGAAACATTTTTGTCATTGTTGAACATGATGATTTTGATTCATTTAAAAATGTTATGATGAATAATTATCAACAGGCTGTTAAAATGCGTAATGATCGTCAACAGGTTAATAAAAATGAATATGTTAGTAATTGAAACACTGTTTATGATTTTTTAATAGACGATATTGCATGTTATTGTATTACGTTCATATGCATACGTTTGGATTCGCCTATTGTTGGTGCGTGAATGCGATCTATCTGCTCAAGATGTTGACGGGTATACTGCCCTTCATTACGTATGTGAACGAGATGACGTAGAAATGTTGAAAGCTTTAACAGTTAAAATTCACTCAACAATGCAATATTTGAATAATGAGCAATTGGAAAAAATCGATAAAAATTGTCAGAAAGCATTTCGAACATCGAATAAATATGGTAAGCTTAAACACCACTCTGCTTCACAACTGTAGTTCTTAATGTTATGGAATTGTAGGTATTACTCCTTTCATGCTGGCATGTTTTAAAAATGCCAAGAAATGTATAGAATACTTTTATGAACAACATCAAGAAATTTGTTATGAACAAGTTAATCAGCAGGTTAGTTTTTTCCCGTATTTGAAAAAATGCATAATATATCAGGGTCAAGCATCTTTTTCACTGAATGATTCACAAGATATTAAGAATTTCATTCTATTCCAGCAAAATGCAACTAACTCATGATCCAAAGACAATGGGCCTTTTCTATCTTAGGTATAGATCTCGAGTGCCACTGTTATTGGTTATTGAAAAGCAGCTATTTGACGATCCATACTCTCTTCTTGAAATTTATAGTTTTCTTCAGAAAAAGAGTCGCGCCTAGTCTTACAAATATCATTGAAAGAAATAATAAATATGGACATATTTGCCTGACAAAATTGCGCGTATTGACTGTTGTTTCAATCGAGCAAGAGCGCTCAATTTTCAGAGACAAAAACCGCATATTTCTCTATTACAAATCCATTTAAAAAATTTGATCGAAAAAGGAACCTCTTTCGTAAATGTTTGATTTATTGGTAGTCTCGATGTTATTGTGATTGTTTAATTATTAATTTTTCTTTGTTCAAATTTACAACGTATAATAGTGTATAATGAACAGCATAGAATAGTTCAACAGTTATGTTCTTATTAGAATAATTTTCTGATGAATGTCGTATCAAGAACAAAACATTGGATCTGTAAATAAACTATCTGTAATCAAAACAAAGAAAGAGTTAAAAATGCAAACGGGCAAATTTTGGAGAATAATCGACGTATTTTTTGAAGAAAACTATAAATTTCAAGAAGAGAGTATGGATCGTGAAATAGCTGCTTTTCAATAACCAATAACAGTGGCACTCGAGATCCATACCGTAGATAGAAAAGAGCTATGACTACGTTTTGCCTATAAAACAGAAGGCTCATTGTCTTTGAATCATGAGTTAGTTACATTTTGCTGAAATGGAATGAAATTCTTAATATCTTGTAAACCGTTTACCTCACGAGATCGGAACTTGTTGGGTATTCAGTATTTCGCTAAAACTATGACTATAAAGCGAAGAAATAGTTACAACGATCTTCAGATGCAAGGTGAACATACTTTTGATTTTGTACTGTATATTTCAAGGATCGTTTTGGTGATGTTTGTATACATTATGCCGTAGCTAGAAACAATATCAAACTAGCAGAATTCCTCCTTAGTCAATGCTGTGCGAATGTTAATGGAAGTGATAGTGATGATACTCTACTTCGTCCAAGTCCATTAGACATTGCCTTATTTAACAAAAATCAATGCATAACTGATTTATTGAAACAATACAATGGTAGAACAAAACTCAGAGTACAACGAAATACAAGCTACTACGAAAGTACGGAAAAAGCAACTCTCTAAAAAAAGGCGTATTTTATAGAACTCTAAAAAAAGGGTTTAGTAGGCAAAAAAGGTTCCATTCTTTGTACTAAGCCCCAAAGGATATTTGAAACCATTTAGAAAACCGTTCATGCCCTTTCTAAATAGATATGAAAACTAACACGATTCTCAGTGAAAAATGAGTTCTTCTCTTAACAGCATCAATCTTTTAGTTGTTTCAAGATACCTATTCATATTACAATATGCCTGGTAAGGATAATATAAACCTATGAACATGTTGTATGACACAGATATGACGTCC